AACACGAAATCAAATCGATCATGTCTTGATACAACACAGCTGGCAAAGCAGTATAATTAATGTACGGTCTTATCGCGGAGCAGAATGTGGGTCGGATCATGAATTAGTAATCGCGAAACTTCGACAAAAACTTAATATAAAAAAGAGAAAAGAAAACCGTTTCGATTTTGAGAATTTTAATTTGGAAAAATTAAAAAATCCATCAATTAGAAACCAATTCGAGCTAGATGTTAAGAATAGGTTTGAAGCTTTAGAGCTTCCTGACGAGGACCACGAGGATATTGACAAGTTATGGATAGAGATCAGGGATAATATTAAAGCGGTCGGTAACTCGTGTTTAGGAAAAAAGGAAAATAAGAATAACAAACCGTGGTTTGATGAAGATTGCTTAAACATGTGTGAAAAAAGAAAAGCCGCTAAATTAAAAGCTCTAAATAATCCTAGCGAAGACAATCTGGAATACTTCCGAATCTCAAAGAACGAAACGACAAAATTGCTCAAAAATAAAAAAAGGGAGTATCTTAAAAATAAAATAATTGAAATAGAAACTAATAGAATCGAAAATAACGTAAGAGACATGTACAAAGGTATAAACAGATTACGTAAATATGTAGGGACCGTAACGTCTGGAATTAGGGATGATAATAACAATATTCTGACCGATCCGGTTGACATATTGAATAAGTTTAAGGACCACTTTGACAATATTTTAAATACGGGAAATTATGATCTGTGTCCTCCTTCTGAGTACCAGAGTGCTGAACCGTTAATAGAAGGACCAAGTAAAGAGGAAGTTGAAGTAGCTATCGGAAAATTAAAATCATATAAAGCAGCGGGAATCGATAATATTCCTACTGAACTAATTAAGGCATGCGGGGAAGCTGGAGTTTCTAAAATACATCGGTTGGTTAAAAAGATCTGGGTGAACGAGAAATTACCTGAAGAATGGAAAGAATCTATTCTTATTCCGATTCACAAAAAGGGTCCGAGGACGGATTGTAATAACTATCGAGGAATTTCACTCCTTCCGGTATGTTATAAAATATTCACTTTAATCTTAACCAGTCGAATCACGGAATACGCCGAGGAAATTATCGGAGACTACCAGTGCGGATTTAGACGAAATCGTTCGACAATTGATCAAATATTTTCTTTACGGCAAATATTAGAGAAAAAATTGGAGTATAACGGTATTGTTCACCAGCTGTATATAGATTTTAAAAAGGCTTACGATTCTATTGACCGCCAGAAACTGTATAATATTCTAATCGAGCAGGGGATTCCAAAAAAACTAGTAAATCTAGTCAGGATGTGCTTGACGGAGACACTCAATAAAGTTAGAATCGGTAATAATTTGTCCGAAAAATTTGAGGTTCGTTCGGGCTTAAAACAGGGGGATTCTCTTTCGCCTGTCCTGTTCAATTTGGCATTAGAACATGCCATTAGGGAGGTAATGCGAACCGAGAAAGGGTTGGATCTGGGCGGGACAACATCCGTGCTGGGCTATGCTGATGATCTGGTACTGTTAAGCGAAGACGTTGAAACTATAAAACTAAATACGACAACGTTAATGAAAGACGGTAAAGAACTAGGACTCGAAATAAACGTGGATAAAACAAAATATATGGTTAGCTGCAAAAATGGCGATACTACTGGTGATATCGATATAGATGGTAATATGTTTGAACAGGTGGATAAATTTAGGTATCTAGGTTCTACGATAACTAGAAAAAACGAAATTGAAGAAGAGATTAAGGTTAGACTGAAGGCGGGGAATGCTTGTTATTTTTCTGTGACAAAACTACTTAGTTCGCGCCTCTTGTCCCGAAACTTAAAAATTAGAATCTATAAAACAATTATCTTGCCTACAGTTCTTTATGGATGCGAAACTTGGCCGCTTACATTAAGGGATGAGCAGCGTCTTAAGGTTTTTGAAAATAAAGTATTGCGTAGAATATTCAGACCGAAGAAGGATGAGTTAACCGGAGAGTTCAGACGGTTACACAACGCCGAATTGCGTGAGCTGTATCCGGGTAATATAATTGAGGTAATTTCATCGCGGCGAATCAAATGGGCTTGTAAAGTTGTTGGGCTTAGTAACGAGAGAATTCCTAAAAGGTTAATATTTGCTGTGCCGAATGGTAAGCGTCCGAGGGGTAGACCGAAGCGAAGGTGGGAAGATTGCATTAAAGCCGATCTGAAGGGACTGGGTTTGGACGGCGAACGGTGGAGGGAGGTGTGTAACAAGCGATTGGTGGTGTCGGCATCGAATCTTCGGGTTCGCTAAGCCTTATTATTATTATTATTATTATTAGTCCAATAATTGGAATCACTTTTTATTTCCTTTTCTTTGTCACTAGGAAGGTAATGTTACTTTAGATGTATAATTTCTTGGGAATAATAAACTATTGTGAAATAATTTGCAGGTTTTTTTTTTTATATATAACCATCATAAATGCATACGATACATTACACTATACTCTAATAACATTACACTAATTCCAGTCAAATAGATTGCTAACTAGGACTCCTACTTCAAAAGTGTACAATCTGAAATCCTCCAAGACTGAAACGCAAAGAAACAGCCTGTAGATTTCGATTAGTACAACACTTATTTGCCTAACGATTTAAACTTCCATCTTGCTACAAAAAAAAAACGAATTTAAAGGCCTTAAAAATCATTATTATTCAACAGCTATCAAACTCATTAGTAGGCCACCTGGAGAAACGAAATTGAAGTTTACAGCTCCACAAAACCATCAAATCCTTAAGCCTAGTCCACACTAGTAGACACGTTGCGCGATTTTTGTCTCTGACATGTCTCAGTTTGTCTACGTAGTCATGTTTATAGACCAATCCCCTTCTACAGGCATGTTTCGAGACCAAAAATCGAACCAAAAAATTAAGCTTCGTGTCTCTAGACGGTCTATAGACAAATCACGCAACAATGTCTACTAGTTTGTTGTTTGTTTGTTTTGATGTTTAGGAGCAAAACATCCAGATCATAAGCCTCGTATTGACTGAATAACACCACTTAATACTGATTGGATAGTCGGTACAAAAAAAAAATTAAATAAAGAAATGGATTGATATAATAAAATAAATAAATAAGGATAATAATAGACATTTATAGATAATATAATATAATAGATAAATAAATAAAATTTTAAAAATAGCAGTAAAATCAATAAATGAATGGAAATTAATAAACAAATGAAATGAAATGAAACAAAAAATAAAATAAATAAATATATATAAATAAAATAATAAATCTGCACAGGATCATTAATTATAAGCTTGTCATATATGTCTTTCACTACCCAGGAACTTGATGACTTTGGTAACGATTTCTCCTTGATTTCCCAGGGATGCTGATATATTCTGGGGTATTCTTAGATCTTTTAACCTTGCGGTGTAAAAAAGACACTCTTCCAAAATATGTTTTATTGTTAATGACTGGTCACACTTTTGACATCTGGGGATAAGATCTCTTGTTGTGAGGTGGAGGTGAGTCAGTCTAGTATGTCCGATCCTCAGCCGCGTTAGGACGACCTCTTCTCTACGACTGCTGCGTCTGGAACTAGTCCACGGTTGCACCTCTTTCTTTATTGTTTTCAATTTGCTAGGTGCGCTGTTGTCCCACCGCCTTTGCCATTCTTGGAATATGGTTTCTCTTAGAGGTCGTGCAAGTTCAGATGGTGTCAAAAAAGCTTTACCGCGGTCTGGAAGAGTAAGAGCTTCTTTTGCTGCTCTATCAGCCATTTGGTTTCCTTATAATGCCTATATGGCCAGGCGACGAGATAAAATGTGCCGTTGTCCACTAGTGTGTACTAGGCTTTATAATAGAAAATTCTTCGAATTTCAAACTCCAATTAATACATACTAATAATTGATTGCATCAGAACTAATCCCATAAATAAAACAATCACAATTAAAAATCAGGATGATTCTCACTGTTTGAACTAGAATATGAATTTAAATGTTCATCAATCTATTCGTATACGTCAAATCGATCACGCCGTATTTGATTAATAATTTTTTAATACAACAGAAGCTTAAAAATAAATATTATCTACATTAAGCTTACTTGTAGAACAAATGTATCATAATTATATCATATATACTTATATCATACTTACAGGCATCACAATAATTTTAAGTACAGTTTTGAATTTCAGTTTATAGCTCATAATAGACTGAAACGACAAGAAACCGCTCAACGTTTCCGATTACCTCAGCACTTACTAGACAAACGCTCTAAACTTCCAATTAATTACAAAAGACTCATATACATGACTATAATTAGGCCTATTTGGACTTACGGAGTTGAGCTATGGGGCTCCACCAAACCTTCAAATTCCTCTCGCATACAATCCTTACAATCCAAAATCCTTCGTAAAATCCTCATTGCTCCTTACTTTGGGTAGTTACTCAGCAAGTGTTTTTCATGTCGTTATATCCATATGTTCAAATTTACTAGACGTATTTATTTGATACAGTACAGTAAATATCATTAAGAAATAATTTAAAAAAAAGTTTATAGCTATATACCATCTTTTCACTATGTTACCTTTGTTTGTACAGTGTGTCTTGTAAATAGTGGGAAATATTTATAGAAATGATGAAAATTTTCAAGAGCTACAAAAAATTGTATATAAACATTTGTCAGATTTTCAGCAGAAAAGTAGAAATTTAAGTTTTGTGTTTATTTTTAAGTAAGTCTGTTTTTTTGTAGAATAGGAAGCGACAATTAAAGAAAATTTAAATTTAAGTAATTAAAAGTTGCTTTAATATAAACAAAAAAAATTTACTTCAACAGTAAAGAGAGTTTATCATTGTTAAAACCACAGGAGATACCAACAAACTCCTGGTGTTACTGAAAGCACAGGTTCTTACCAGCAATCTCCTGATATTACTCTAAACACAGCTACTAACCAACAATCTCCTGCTGTTACTGAAAGTACCGTTGCTGACCAGTTACACTCTGCTACTAGTGACAGCACAATCAGCAGTCTCCTGATGTTGCTAAAAGCACAACTACTGTCCAACAACCCTCTGATACTACTGAAAGCACAATTACTAACCAGCAATCTCCTGATGGTGCTGAAAGCACAGATACGAATCCAAAGCCTTCTGCTTCTACAGAAGGCTCACCAACTGACCAGCAATCTCCTGGTGCTACTGAAAGTACAGTTGACGTCCAGAAATCCCCTGCAACATCAACAAATGCTGAAAATTCATCTTTAATGTCGGATTGCAAGTCTGAACCAGAAATGTCTGGAACTAGCGAAGGGATGTTTGATAGCTCTACCACTCCTCAAACAGATACCACGGCGGATGGACCATTAGATCAAAATGAAAATACAGCTTCTTCAGACAAACTAACAGTGATAGGCAAATCAGAAAGTTCTGAAGTATTATCAGAAAATGAAACCATTTTCCCTTCTAAAGAAAAGTTACCGTATGAAAAAAGTGAAATTTCAACGATTGGACATGAAAATCAGATAGAAAACGCTGGTGATTTCGAAAAGACCCATATTTCACCAGCAAATTATGGAACCATTAATGAATTTGAAAAACTTACAATACCATCTGCTAGTGGATCTATTATTTCTCATAAAGAAGCTTATGAAAATATGCTTCCTCTTCCGCTCATGGCCAAACAGGATTCGTCTATATCATCGTTGTTAAAGAAGTGGTTACTTTATAGGAGGCCATTACAATTTCTCTTCTTTTTTCCGTATATTCACGCACCAATCAACGCCTAAATGAAACTACACTATTCTAATTGTTTGAAGTGGAAAGCAAACTCTTGATTTATTTACATATACCGGACACTGTTCCACCATATGAAAAATAAAAGGACTAGAACTGCCCGAGTAATTTAAGAATTGCTGGAGAAATAAATGACTGTAAGCCTTTTGTTTTGATATAACACTTTTAAAGAATAAATTTTTATTTCAAAAGCCCGATTGTTTTTATTTCTCCTACCTCCCCTCCCTCTATATAAAAATATCTTTACAGGTTACGTGGTTTTGTAATAATCAGTGGAAATATTCAGCCTTTGTTTGAGGTATTTAATAGAATATTGAACAACCTAATTTTTACTGTGATATTTAGAAGTGAAAACGTTGACGCCTTGGTGGAAGACTTAATATTCTCTAATAATAATAATAATAATTCGTGTTTCGTGTTTGACAAAAATACGAAAACACGAAATCAAATCGATCTTGTCTTGATCACACATAGTTGGCAAAGCAGTATAATTAATGTACGGTCTTATCGCGGAGCAGAATGTGGGTCGGATCATGAATTAGTAATCGCGAAACTTCGACAAAAACTTAGTGCAAAAAAGAGAAAAGAAAACCGCTTCGATTTTGAGAATTTTAATTTTGAAAAATTAAAAAATCCATCAATTAGAACCCAATTCGAGCTTGATGTTAAGAATAGGTTCGAAGCTTTAGAGCTTCCTGACGAGGACCACGAGGATATTGACAAGTTATGGATAGAGATCAGGGATAATATTAAAGCGGTCGGTAACTCGTGTCTAGGAAAAAAAGAAAATAAGAATAACAAACCGTGGTTTGATGAAGATTGCTTAAACATGTGCGAAAAAAGAAAAGCCGCTAAATTAAAAGCTCTAAATAATCCTAGCGAAGACAATCTGGAATACTTCCAAATCTCAAAGAACGAAACGACAAAATTGCTCAAAAATAAAAAAAGGGAGTATCTTAAAAATAAAATAATTGAAATAGAAACTAATAGAGTCGAAAATAACGTAAGAGACATGTACAAAGGTATAAACAGATCACGAAAATGGGCCCGTAACGTCTGGAATTAGGGATGATGATAACAATATTCTGACCGATCCGGTTGACATATTGAATAAGTTTAAGGACCACTTTGACAATATTTTAGATACGGGAAATTATGATCTGTTTCCTCCTTCTGAGTACCAGAGTGCCGAACCGTTAATAGAAGGACCAAGTAAAGAGGAAGTTGAAGTAGCTATCGGAAAATTAAAATCTTACAAAGCAGGCATGCAAAACTAATTAAGGCATGCGGGGAAGCTGGAGTTCCTAAAATACATCGGTTGGTTAAAAAGATCTGGGTGAATGAGAAATTACCTGTGGAATGGAAAGAATCTATTATTCCGATTCACAAAAAGGACCCGAGGACGGATTGTAATAACTATCGAGGAATTTCACTCCTTCCGGTATGTTATAAAATATTCACTTTAATCTTAACCAGTCGAATCACGGAATACGCCGAGGAAATTATCGGAGACTACCAGTGCGGATTTAGACGAAATCATTCAACTATTGATCAAATATTTTCTTTACGGCAAATATTAGAGAAAAAATTGGAGTACAACGGTATTGTTCACCAGCTGTATATTGATTTTAAAAAGACTTACGATTCTATTGACCGCCAGAAATTGTATAATATTCTAATCGAGCAGGGGATTCCAAAAAAACTAGTAAATCTAGTCAGGATGTGCTTGACGGAGACACTCAATAAAGTTAGAATCGGTAATCAGTTCTGCGCATGCGTTAGCCTTAGTTAAACATACGTCAGGTCGTCTCTTAAAAAAATTTCAATTATCAATGGCAGTATACAAGCTTAATGTGAACAATTAGTGTTATCAGTTACATTAACAATTACGTTTGATACTGGACAAAAAAATAAGGTGAGTAATCACTTATTTACAACACAAGAGTGAACAGTGTAAATAGACCTTAGGTTAGTTAGATAACGGCCAGCCATAATACACATCGTTAATCTGACTAGTGGGCTGGAGCCCTTCGTCGGAAGCAGACCTGCGTTCTCCAAGCGCGCGTCTATATTTTCGTCTTCAATAAAAATATATTTTTTTCATCGCCTCACTTTTATCAATTTTTCTTTTAAAAAATTAATATGAAATGCGATATTATCACATGCTAATGTCGAGTAAGATCAAAACCACTAGGTCCAGGAGCCTCGATACTACAATTAGTTCTCCCATTAAAAAAAAGACAAGGCATTCAAAAAGAAACACTCCACCAGCCACACCAGGGAGCTCTATAGAAGAAGTTGAACCCCAACCTGGCTCCTCAAAACAACCTAACAATTATGAGACAACTCAAGCTATGGGCGAAGAATCGCCGTTTTTCACTTCGAATCCATTTGAAGTGCTTTCAAATATAAATAACGAACAAATGGAAGCAGCATCAACCCCCAGAGAACCTAAACCCCCACCAATATTTGTTAGAAATATTAAAAATTTTCAATTGATGTGTCATAAATTGAATAATCTAGTAGGTTCAGGAAAATATTTATGCCAAAGCCGCACCAATGACACTAAATTAATGCCCGACACTCCAGAAACTTACAGAAAAATGATAAAATATTTATCTGACACCAATTCTGATTAGCACACGTATCAACTGCGTCAAGAGAGGGCGCTCAGGGTCGTTATTAGAAGACTGCACCCATCTACGCCAACAGATGCTATAAAAGAAAAGCTCATGGGTATGGGATTCCATGTTCGCCAGATAGTGAACATATTCAAGGAGGATAAAGAACAGCCTGGAATAAAAAATAAAATACCTCTTCCACTATTCTTCGTTGACCTTGACCGAACACCCGATGTCGAAAACATCTACAAGGTCAAACATATACAAGCGTTGTTGTAGAAAAGCCCTACAGCAAGCGCGACATCGTTCAATGCCATAACTGCCAGGCTTATGGCCATACGAAACGGTATTGTCATCACATTCCTAGATGTGTGAGGTGTGGTGAGCAACACAAAACAGAGGACTGTAGGAAGTCAAGAACTTCACCTGCAGTATGCGCTTTATGCCACCAAGGACACCCAGCCAACTACAAGGGTTGTCAAACATACAAAAATTTAAAAACACGAATGTACGCAACGCCTAGAGAAGAAGGGACATGTAGGCCACCAAGACAACCCTCTAGAATAGTGAACGGAAGAGTGTCCTATGCTCAGATGTTCAAAGGAGACACTGTAAACTCTCAATCTCAGGCCCTGCCACAAGAACCTAAACCTCAAGAATTCACACATCAACCTCAAGACCCATATCCCTCCATCCCCGAACGTAGGTTAAATACTCATACATTCATTCCTCCTCCTTCCAATTCCACTGACCTCTCAAGCCTACTGACATCTTTCCTTTCCGAATTTAGATCTCTCATTACCCCTCTTATTTCGCTACTTACCAATGTTATATCCAACCTCATTCCACTGCCAAGAAATCCATAAATGTCCTCAACCAAATTCCTCTCCATTCTCCTTTGGAATGCGAATGGTATTCGGAACCACATCAACGAACTGACAATCTTATTACATGACAAAAACATCGACATAGCACTAATAACTGAAACTCGACTAACCAACAAACGACAAATCAACGTTCCCGGCTACAATATTTATCTAACCGACCATCCTGATGGAACAGCACATGGTGGCACTGCCATAATTATCCATAGATCCGTTTCCCATCATCTATTCCCTTTGCCAACCCATAATTTCCTACAATCCACTGCCGTGATAATCCAAACTTCCCTTTACCTAATAGCAGTAGTCGCAGCATACTCCCCGCCTAAAATACCCATCTCAGAATCCCAATAAACTTCCTTCCTTAACTCCTTAGGACACCACTTCCTTCTAGGTGCAGACTTAAATTCTAAACACCAGCAATGGGGAGCCAGAACCACAAATTCCCGAGGACGAACATTGCTAGCTGCACTTAATTCCCATCACAGCAACATCCTCTCACCCAATTCTCCCACATACTGGCCAACAGATCCTAACCGCAATCCCGATCTCCTAGATTTTTTCATCCACAAAGGTCTAGGGTCCCTTAATTATTGCATCTCAGAACTTGATGATCTTTCCTCAGACCATAGTCCCCTAATCCTAACGGTTTCCACATCACCAATTCCCAAACCATATCCACCTTCATTTATCAGGGGGCCAGTTAATTGGAACCTCTTCCGTCAAATGCTGGATGATAATATTGACCTCAGAGTTTCCTTAAAAACACCTACAGACCTAAATGAAGCAGTACATTCCATGACTACCTTGATCCAACAAGCAGTTTGGACTGCATCTTCACCTGATCCTTCTAAAAAATACCGCAAAACAAATCCTCTACCCCAAGACCTACTGGACCTTATTAATAGAAAACGATGCTCTAGGGCTATCTGGCAAAGAACCAGGCATCCTGATGATCGGAAATCATATAACTATTATTCCAAGCAAGTAAAACAAAAACTGGCCACGTTTAGATCCCAATCCTATAATTCCTATCTTTCCTCACTATCTGCAAGTGATAACTCCATCTGGAATGTAACTAAAAAATCCTTAAATTCCAATCCATTTCCCACCCCCTCCGCCGTGATGATGGTTCCTGGGCTTCGTCAGATGAGAATAGAGCAGAAGAGTTTGCTAAACATCTATCGTACACATTCACTCCTCATCCTGAACTCCATCCCTCCCATACTGCTGAAGTTAAAGAATTCCTCTCTTCACCGATTCCTCTCTCCTTACCTCCTACAGCCGTCAACCCCTCTGAGGTCAAATTCCTTTTAAAGAACCTAAAACCTCGCAAATCTCCAGGACACGATCTCCTTACTTCCCAGATCCTCAGACAACTTCCCAAAAAAGCAATTATATTCCTTACATACCTATTCAACTGTATCCTCCGCACAACCCACTTTCCTCTGGTGTGGAAACACTCCATAATTATCCTATTTCCTAAACCAGGTAAATCTGTAAATTATACAGCATCCTATAGACCGATAAGCCTACTTCCGATCCTTTCCAAAATCTTTGAGAAAATCCTTCTCAAACGCATCCTACCCATACTCGAATCCCACAATATCCCTCCCCATCAGTTTGGATTCCGCTCAAGACACTCCACTGTCCAACAAGGCCTTCGCGTTGTCGACCACATATCCTCTGCACTTGAAAACAAGCAATATTGCACTGGTGCCTTTCTGGACGTAGCTCAAGCTTTCGACCGGGTGTGGCACGATGGCTTGCTTTTCAAGCTCAAAACCCATTTACCTCAACCCTTGTACCTAGTCCTCAAATCCTACCTTTCAAATCGCTCCTTTCAAGTCCGCTGCGGCACTGAACTCTCCAAACATTATCCAATTGAGGCTGGTGTTCCACAAGGCAGTGTCTTGGGTCCAGTTCTCTACATCCTTTTCACCGCTGACATCCCTTCAATTCCTGATACCTTCCCAGCAACATTTGCTGATGATACTGCCATCCTATCCTCTCACTCGGATCCTCTAATAGCGTCTCAGAACCTGCAAAGACACCTTTCCTTCATTGAGCAGTGGTGCAACAACTGGCGCATCAAAATTAATGAATCAAAATGCAAGCATGTAACTTTCACTCTTCGACGCAGATCCTGTCCGCCAATCCTTTTTAATTCAATTCCTCTTCCCTACTCAGACACAGTCCGATACCTTGGCTTCCTTTTGGACAAAAGACTGACTTGGAACCCACATACCAGACTTAAAAGACAAGAGGTTAATCGACGATTTGGTCAGCTATATAGACTACTAAACAGAACATCTCATCTCTCAACAGAAAACAAATTATTAATCTACAAGACCACAACTAAATCATCGAATATCAAACGCATCCAATCCTTCCAGTCCAAAGTCCTTCGAACAATAGTCAATGCTCCATATTATGTCACGAACAAGACCCTACACCATGACCTTAACATCCCATATGTCCATGACATCATCCCATCCAGATTCTCCAACTTTCACCAGAACCTCATTCATCATCCCAATCCTCTAGCGCAATCCCTATCCAGCTCCAAACATCCATACCATCCCCCTCGAAGGTTGAAACGGCAGTGGCCTCGAGATCTTTTGTAAATATGCCTTTAGAGTCCTGGCAATGGCCAGCTTCTCCACTCATGTCCTGAGCGTCTGTGGCTCTAGTGCCCTCTTTCAGTCTCCATTGGCTTTTAATACTAGTGATGCGGCTGGAAAAGTGGCGCTGGGATCTTCCGGAGTCTTGCTTCGCCTTCCACGTGTGGGGGAAAAAGCCTGGCTCGGAGATTCTTGAGGCGAATATATATATTGTATATAGGTATGATTGTGTTTAGAAGTTTTATTTTATTTTATTTGTTTATTTTATTTTTATTTAACTTCTTCACCAGTATTATTTATTTACTTATTATATTTATATTTATTTTTTTATTATTTGTATATATTGTATGAATGAGAACTTGTAGCCCTAATGCTTATAGCCCTCCAGCAGTGGCTGATTGTATTATTATTCAAAAAAAAAAAAAAAAAAAAAAGAATCGGTAATAATCTGTCGGTAAAATTTGAGGTTCGCTCGGGTTTAAAACAGGGGGATTCCCTTTCGAATGTACTGTTCAATTTGGCATTAGAACATGCCATTAGGGAGGTAATGCGTACCGAGAAAGGGTTGGATCTGGGTGGGACAACATCCGTGTTGGGCTATGCTGATGATCTGGTACTGTTAAGCGAAGACGTTGAAACTATAAAACTAAATACGACAACGTTAATGAAAGCCGGTAAAAAACTAGGACCCGAAATAAACGTGGATAAAACAAAATATATAGTTAGCTGCAAAAATGGCGATACTACTGGTGATATCGATATAGATGGTAATATGTATGAACAGGTAGATAAATATAGGTATCTAGGTTCTACGATAACTAGAAAAAACGAAATTGAAGAAGAGATTAAGGTTAGACGGAAGGCGGGAAATGCTTGTTATTTTTCTATGACAAAACTACTCAGTTCGCGCCTCTTTACTTAAAAATTAGAATCTATAAAACAATCATCTTGCCTACAGTTCTTTATGGATGAGAAACTTGGCCGCTTACATTAAGGGATGAGCAGCGTTTTAAGGTTTTTGAAAATAAAGTATTGCGTAGAATATTCGGACCGAAGAAGGATGAGTTAACCGGAGAGTTCAGACGGTTACACAACGCCGAATTGCGTGAACTGTATCCGGGTAATATAATTGAGGTAATTTCGTCGCGGCGAATCAAATGGGCTTGTAAAGTTGTTGGAGAGAATTCCTAGAGAAGCACTGTTTCTAGGTCAACGTTTGTGCAAGGAGGTGATTTGATCGAGATCACGCTCAACCGCCAGGTTTTTCCCCTTAATCTATTATTTAATTAAGTGAACCAACTTTATAGAGACTGGGTGTGCCCCAGGAGGGTCTACCTACCCAGGATGGCCCCACAGCCAATGAAACAGAATAAATAATTTTCTGCCATGAACCGGGATTTGAACCTGGGACCTTTAGCATTGGAAGCTCAGTACCCTATCAGTCAGCTATCCCACTCCCTCAGCCATAATTAGAGCAAATCTCGATGAGATATTAAATAAGTATAAACGACATTTGCAGGAGGCTGATAAGAAAACGTTGCATAGCTCAGCTTGTGTTGATGCTGACTAATTTCAAAGGTACTACTTCACTAGCAGGCCGAGTAGTAACCTCACTCCTTATCTATGTTATCTAATGCCATGTCACATAACCTCCCTCTTCTTATCACGCCAAACCTTTCAGTTATTGCATTGTTTATTTTTCAATTCTTCCCTTATTACGTTCACTTATTAAATTCTTTATTTTTGGCCCGTTTTTGTTAATTTTTCATTTTCTATTTTAAGTTTATTTTCGTCAAATTATGAATCTTGTTACATTCTGGGATTTACTGGGTCAAAATAAATGACAGAAATGCAACAACCTTATTACAAGCAATTAAAGACAATATAGAAGAGGGAACGACCATTTATTCGGACTGTTGGAAAGGCTACAACACCCGACAACTGAACGGAGCAAACCATGACTATTTCCAAGTGAATCCACCGGTATGATTTTGTCAATCCATCAACTGGGGTTCATACTAAAGACATAGAACGATTATGGGGCTCAGCTGAGTGGAGAAATAAAATACATAGAGGAACTGCCAGACAACACCTCGATTCATATTTATGTGAATTTTTGTGGCGGCGGGTTCACAAAGAAGAGGACCTGATCCACGCTATTTAAATAGCATAAAACTATTTTGCTTACCAAGACGAAGCGAAAATAAATTGTACATATGTCGTTTAGTGTTGATATTTTTTTCTTTTATATGTAAATATGCTCTTTAAGTTTTTTTTTTTTTATTATTTCATTTTCATCTTTTATATGTACATATGTGCTTTAAGTGTTTTTTATTATTTCATTTTGATCTTTTATATGTACATATGTTCGTTAAGTGTTTTTTTTTATTATTTCATTAATATATGTGTCTTAAAATAAAAGTATTTTTTTTGTTATTACATTTGATTTTGTTTCTGTTTACACTTTCAATAATACGAATATAATACAATAATACGAAGATAGGAATTCCGAGAAGGATTATCACTGCCTTATCGGAATTATCAGTGCTCAGGTTATAAACATTGGCAGATAGCAGTCAGTCCCGTCCTGCTAGTGAAGAAGTACCATTTCAAATATACCCGATTAATATTGCAGATCCGCCTAAAATAGTAAAAATTATTCTACAACTTGAGTGCAAAATGTTCAATACTATGTAAAAAGAGACACTTTATCATATATTAATTAAATGCCCAATATACAATGGTTTAAGAAGAAGAATTTACAAGGGTATGTAAAATAATAATGGAATGCAAATATTTAAGTCAAGCAATAGAAGATATGAGAAAATTATATTTTCTTTCCTTATTGCCGAAGGTAGAGAAGCTTTGTACTAGTACTCGCAATCGTGCGAGAGGTTAAACAATTAAAAATTATGCTCAGAATCGAAAATTTTCACAAGCGTTTTACGTTTCAGACATCTAGGATCAAATTCGGTTTCCAGATTTTACGGAGGGCTTTGGGTTGTAAGATTGGATACGGGAAGAATTTGATGATTTCGTTGAATCACAAATCTTAATCCTATTTAATGATGATAATGTATATGAGTTTTTTTTTTTTTAAGAATATTTGAAGTTTAGATTGTTTTGTCATGTAAGTGTTGTAGTGGTCGAAATCTATTAATAGATTTTTGTCTTTTCAGTCTAGTATGAGGATTGCAAGTAAGGCGTTTGTCAAAAAGGAATCCTAGATAACGGATCTGTTCGACAGTTATCAGTGGAATACTGTTAAAGGATACTGTAGGAGAAGGTATAGTATGTTTACGATGATGTGTTTCTGGTTTTATGCCACCTGGCTATTGCCCGAAGTTTCTCTGTTACTAATATGCTATGATGATTTCGAAAATTAGTTTCTCAGTAATATCTAGTTTTGGGGTGTGATGTGTTGTTATTGATGGTGGTTTCTATAGATCTTTTGAATTCTTCAATAGCAGAATCAATCTGCATTTTAACGAAATATTTAAATCTAGATTGTTTTCTAGGTCATGATGAAAGTTGTTCCAGTTTACTTTCCATGTGATTAGTGATGATTTGTGATGGCTTAAATCTATAAGTTCAATAACGAAACTTTATGAAATAATAGATATTGGTAGTTGAATTGGCAACATTGGATGGTACTATATGCATTTCAACTAATAAGCCAATATTTCGTATTTAATTTGTCTAGTAAACAATCATCCAAATATTGACAGATCAACATCGCCATTCTTTGAATAAGTATAAAAAGTCTAAAACATCCAGAAGGTGTCAATCGTTCCCGGTTATCACAGCCATGAAGTTGTCAATCTTTGCTGTCCTCGTCGGCTTGGCGGTATGCAGCCATGCCTTCTCGATCAGTGGCTTCATCAGTTCTGTTGCTAAACATCAGCAAGAGAACATCCAATTGGTTTCTGATCAAGCTATAAGTAACATCAATCAGATAGCAGGAAACATCAAGTCAAATATAAATGCTATCCTCACTGGTAATCCCTTCTTAGTTGCATCGACGATAGCCAACAACTGTGCTAACATGGGGAAAACTGTTTTGAACCAACAAATTAAGAATAGTCAAAAATACATTGCTGATGCAATAGAGGATTTGAAGGTAATTAATCTTTTTTAATTATAAATACATGTTTACACACACAAATTCTAATATCTTTAGTTAACTGACTGTGTTAAATTAAGTAAAGCAATTTAGATACAATCTGGAATAGTTTTCGAAGTTGGAAATGTTTTCGTTTAAATAAATGGGTATGTATACCATCTTCAACTATTAACTCTCTATATAACTCACTATGTGAATGTGCAATCTTAAAATCGATAATGTTTTTATAAAAACATATTCAAGGATGCATTCTTCAATTCGATATTGTTTACATAAAAAGACGCCTCCTATATACTAGTAATAGCCCCTTACTTCGCTGAATTTCGAAAAGATTTTTTACAAATTCATACAAAATTTTTATAGTGTCTATACAAGTGTATGAATTTGTAAAAAATCTTTTCGAAATTCAGCGATATAAGGGTCTATTACTACTATATAGGAGGCGTTTTTTTTATGTAAACAATATCGAATTGAAGAATGCATGCTTGAATATGTTTTTATGAAAACATTATCGATTTTAAGATCACGCATTCATATAGTGAGTTATATAGAGAGTTAATAGTTGAAGATGGTAGACATACCCATTTATTTAAACGAAAACATTCTCTGTGGGAAACATTCTCGATTGGTGGTGTCGGCATCGAACCTTCGGGTTCGCTAAGCCTTTTCTTATTATTATTATATTATTATTATTATATTATTATTATTATTATTATTATACACGTGTATAGTGAGTTAAAGTGAGTTGTCCCCTCCTTCCGCCGTCAATACTTCCCTGAAAATTTCTTCTACCAAACTAACAACTCCCATCATACTTCTTATATCTACCGTCTGGACACCTCAGGCCAGGGACACACCGACAGCCTCAGCACCGCCCACTAGCACAGATATTAAGCTACTTGGCTGCTAAGTGTCTGCCCACTACGTTATTTATTACGGTTTTAATCCTTTTCCTCTCTTTGTTCTCGATGATTCACACCGGTTGTTGTTTACTTGGTTGTTTTGTTTACTTTCGGAATCTACTCTTCCATGATTATTACCCAAGTTTATTTGACACTAATATTTTGTTTATTTTTCTCTGTCTGCCTGAGAGTCAAAATTTCGCCTAATATCTATGAATTTGGCAATAGCAGTGATAGATTGGTACACCGAAGGAGATGCAGGTTTATAACTTGGACGCGATCAGAACCACCAATTGGAGCCTTAAGTATTTCGACGTATTGGTCACTAAAAGTTTTTAATTTGGAAGTTATTACTCATACTTCTACTCCCTACTTGTTGTAATAACTTATAAATGATGACAGTATTATATACATATTTACTTTATTATATTATATATATATATATATATATATATATATATATATATATATATATATATATATACACATGCATGTTTACTAATACACATTTTTTGTTTATAGCATCTAAATCCATTCCCTCAATAAGCAACACCGACAACCACTTCACCTCCAGCCCCAGCAACCACCTTACAGCAGAAAACTACTCCACCTCAAACACTAATACAATCAGCAACGAAAACTAATCCACCTCCACTCCCAACACCAACAACCATTCCACCACCAGCACCGAAAACCAATCCACCTCCACCCCCAACGTCAACGACCACTCTACCACCAAAAACAACACCACCTCCAACTCCAGCAACAAACAAACCTACAGAAGAAATAACAACAGCAGATACTGAAAAATAACGACAGAACAAGGAACTCCAGCTCCTATTGGACAAGACGTCCCATCAGAAAAAGAAACTCCAGCCCCTGAAGTATCAGTTGCAGAACCAGAAACTCCAGTGGTAGCCAAAAAACCGGGATGGAGTCTCTCTGGTTTCGCGAAAAAATCATTTGAATTTTTAAAGAAATAAACAAGAAAATATGGAAAATTGAGAACTTCAATTCACCTATCCCTTGATTAACTTACCATTATATAAATATCATTGTGATAAGCATCTTAATAAAATATTTCATTAACATATATTTATTTAATATAAATTAACATATATTTAATATTAATAATTCTATATGATCTATTTCATAAAATGAACACCATACTTTACGAATATTATTATTAGGTAGCAATAATAAGTGTGCTGAAGCTCACAGCAATGTGTCTTGAAGATTTCTAAACCTCCAGTCTGCATTACGTACTATGGAGCAAGATGGCTGTGTAGTAAGTATGCACCAAACTTCGGCACTAATACAAATAAAGTATTTAAAAATATAAAATAAAATACATTTTTTGTTAAAGTTTTATTTAAAAAAAGCAAGTTATCTTATATTTTAAATATACAAGACTAAAAAAAAGAAAAACAAAACTACTATTTGTTATGTTCTTTAATATTTGAGATGTGTATATCTTATTTTAATTTAATGTTCTTTTTTTATGATTTATTTACATTTTAAAATACTACAAAACTTTTAGATAAAACAGCTACAGTTAATGAAAGTGAATATGAATATGAATTTAAATAAATATTTATCTATTATGATGCGTAAAAACAGCAAATTTAATCCAACAGAAGTTCAAACAAAAACAATATTTTAATTAGGTGTACATACAGAACAATCATTTATCCTTCAATTACGAACTCAATACCAAACAAAATTTACTAGTCTTTAACCTTGGTTTCCAATTTACTTTAATTTGAAAAACTGCCATAGGATTTGGAAAGAAGATGACTAATAACTATGTTTTTGTTGAAGTGCTATTAATTGATTCTGTTTTTAATAAATCACTGCCAATAGCGGATCCAGAATTTAATTTTGGTGGGAGGGAGGACTTCAGCCTGAAAGCTTTATTTTTCATAAAAATAACGATAATTAATTTGAAAAAAAAAGAAAGAAACTAACTACCTATATAAAATTGTGTTTAAGTGATTCCTAAAGTCCTTTCAAATGTAATTACACGAACAATAATACTTTAAGAGATATTATTTTAATATTATTCCATAAAAATGGTTATACTTTACCATTTTGGGAGGCTTCAGCTCCAAAGCCTCCCCCACTCATTAACCACTCTCTTAGCAGAAATAAGTATTTTCAGACAAAGGGAAAGTGGGCTTATTTAGTTAAATAGTTTTTTATGTTGAGGTTTTTTGTTTTTTTTTCTGAGCTTCCAAAAATATTATTTAATTACAATTAAATATATAAGTATAACAAATATAAATATATACAAAGAAGAGGGTCCTTCCACTGTCCGAGGGCATTTTAAGGATTGGGGATAGCTAAGGGTAACATACGTAGCACAAGACCTTTCATTGAAGGGAGAGGGACCGTTCTGATGGTTATGGTGGTTAAATACTAAATCCATGTTATATCTATTTAGTATTTAATCTTTTTGGGAATCAGATATATGTTTTTGGTTTATTATTTTCTATAATGAACCATTGTTAAAGAACAAAAACTTAACCTTCTCTCAAAATTTGAGGTTTTACCTTTCAGGATACGTAGAATTCGAAAAACGAATAAAAAATTATTTGTCCGTCCGCCGTCCGCGCATTTTCCCGGAAACTACTGGACCGATTTTTTTCAAATTTGGATATAAAATTAGAGATCACCCGAGGATGATCCTCCTTCATCGACATTTCTATCCGCCTTTTCCTTTCAATATGGGCACCGAAAAACCTGCGTTACTATAGACTATAGCGCCTAAACGAATGTACCGTTTCCAATGAAACTTAGCTAAAGTCTTCTTCATTAAGGAACATTAAGGTCATTATGGATAATTTTATTTGTAACAAAGTAAGGAGCATTGAGGATTTTACGAAGAATTTTAAATTGTAAAGATTGTATGCGAGAGGAATTTGAAGGTTTGATAGAGCCCCATAGCTCAACTCCGTAAGTTCAAATAGGCCTTATTATAGTCATGTAAATCAGTATTTTATAATTGATTGGAAGGTTAGAGCTTTTGTCTAGTAAGTGTTGAAGTAGTCGGAAACGTCGAGCTGTTTCTTGTCGTTTCAGTCTGGTATGAGGATTCCAAGTTAGACGTTTGTCCAGATGGAGTCCTAGGTAACGGATTTGTTCAACAGGAATAAGTGAGGTGTTGTTAAAGGATACTGAAGGACAGGAAGTCATTGGTTTACGACGAAGGGTGAAGGTAATTTGATGGGATTTATTGGAATTTATTTTAATTCTCCAGTTCTGACACCATTCTTCAAGGTTTGTGATGTGGGATTGAAGGGTTTGGAATGCAATAGATGGGTCGTTATTAACTGATAGGATACATGTGTCATCAGCATATGTGGTGATGACAGTGTTGGGATGGGTTGGGATGCATAAAGCTGCATAAACTGTGTAAAGGATAGGACCTAGGATACTACCTTGAGGAACACCAGCAGACTGTTAAAAACGGGATGCATAGACATTGTTGTGATTTACTTTAAAGTATCTATCAGTAAGGTAGGAACGGATAATGAGGAAGTAGGTAGATGGTAGCAATTTTCGGAGTTTGTACAGCAGTCCCAGGTGCAAAAAAAAGATTTTTTTTTTAATCGTTATTAATATGCTAACACAATTACCTATTAAAATGCTCTAACTATCGCGGTATTGCTCTGCTCCCGTATAAAATTCTATCAAACATCCTGTTTCAACTAATGCCGTTTGCGGAGCGAGAAATTGAGAAATTGGACGGTACCAGAGCGGGTTCAGACGAGGAAGATCAACGATCGACCAGATATTCAGTCTGTTTTTTCTGTTTTTTTCCCGGTGCCAAACTCTATCAAACGCCTGTTCAACATCGAGAAAGGCTCCCGTACAGTACATACCGCGCTCCAATGCAGAGGATACTACGTCTACCACACAATGGCATTGCTGTATAGTGGAATGGGAGGAGCGGAATCCAAATTGGTGATCTGGGATTATGTGATTAGAATCTAGGATTGGGTACAGGCGTTTTAAGATTAGTTTTTCCAGGATTTTTCCCATGATGGGTAACAGAGAGATGGGACGGTAAGAGGATGGATATTCTGGTGGCTTTTTGGGTTTGTGGATCATTTTGACAATAGATATTTTCCAAGGATCAGGGAAATATGTGGATCGGAGTACAGCATTATATATGAAAGTAAGGAATAGGATGGCTTTTCGAGGAAGAAGTTTCAAGATCTGGGATGTTATTAGGTCATGTCCAGGAGCTTTGCAGGAGGGTAATCTTTGAATGATGTTGGATATTTCTGTGGGATGAAATGCTTTAGGTGGAAGGGGCATTTGGAGAGGAGTATCCAGTTCTGATTCAATACATTCGATGTGGGTTGGATTAAGGATATCAGGATGTGGGTTGAAAATTTGGAACAGATGTTGACCGAATAACTGGGCTTTTTCTTCGTCGGATTTGGACCAGGTTTGGGATTCAGTAAGAAGTGGGTGATTAAAATCTTTAAACTTCAGAAGTTTTTTGGTTGTAGTCCATAGTGATTTGTCAGCCACTTCGATCTTGCTCTGCGTTTATCCCTTAATAAGATTCGAATATGCTGTGGCAAGTTAATATGTCTTAAATTATTGCTTTTATTATTAACAAATGTGTTATTATTTATACTCGTTGTTATAGTACCCCACGTCGGACTCACCCTCCACCCAACAATCCTATTCGCATAGATTACTCATCACAACCTCACGACCTAAATCCACTTCCCAGCCAAACGTCATCCGACATCAACTCTATCCTATCATCATTCCTGATAGATCTTCAACAGACTATCAAACCGCTTATAACTCTTCTCACAAGACTCCTTTTCGAAATCCCGTTTAACTTCCGATGAACACAAAGTCCCTAGCTATTCTCTTATGGAACGCTAATGGACTGCAAAACCACCCTGACGAACTAGACATATTTCTCCATGACAATTATATTGACATTGCCCTCCTAACAGAAACTCACTTCACCCAACGGACACATTTCTACATACGTGACTACATCACCTATAGATCTGACCACCCAGACAATACTGCCCACGCTGGCTCTTGCATCCTTATACATAAATCTCTATCGCATTCCCTTATCCCTTCTACTCCAACTGATGCCATTCAATCAACTTCTGTAATCCTTTCAACTCGTCCTTTCCATCTAACACTTTCAGCTGTATACTGTCCTCCTGGTAATTCCCTCTCTTATAGCCTACTTGATTCCTTATTTCAATCCCTCGGAGCGCGCTTCATTGCTGGAGGAGACTACAATGCTAAACACCAACGATGGGGTTGTCGAACATCCAACTCTCGCGGTAGCATCCTATCACGTGTCTCTTCTTCCAACAGTTATTCAATCCTCTCACCCATGAATCCTACATATTGGCCTACATCTCTGAAAAAACGTCCCGATATCCTGGATATATTTATCACCTCCCAGATTTCCTCCTCCCAATCCATTATCAAATCCCTGGATGACCTTTCGTCAGATCATAGTCCAGTTTTGCTTTTACTACATTCGAACTTTGCTCCTAAAACTACACCTCCTAAACCGATTACAGGACGAGTGGATTGGGACGAATTTCGTCATGATCTGGAAGATAAACTGGACTTAAAAATTCCCTTTAAGACAAAACAACATATTGATAATGCCATAGAAAACCTTACTACAACTATAACAACGACTATAAATAATAACACATTTGTTAATAATAAAAGCAATAATTTAAGACATATTAACTTGCCACAGCATATTCGAATCTTATTAAGGGATAAACGCAGAGCAAGATCGAAGTGGCTGACAAATCACTATGGACTACAACCAAAAAACTTCTGAAGTTTAAAGATTTTAATCACCCACTTCTTACTGAATCCCAAACCTGGTCCAAATCCGACGAAGAAAAAGCCCAGTTATTCGGTCAACATCTGTTCCAAATTTTCAACCCACATCCTGATATCCTTAATCCAACCCACATCGAATGTATTGAATCAGAACTGGATACTCCTCTCCAAATGTCCCTTCCACCTAAAACATTTCATCCCACAGAAATATCCAACGTCATTCAAAGATTACCCTCCTTCAAAGCTCCTGGACATGACCTAATAACATCCCAGATCTTGAAACTTCTTCCTCGAAAAGCCATCCTATTCCTTACTTTCATATATAATGCTGTACTCCGATCCACATATTTCCCTGATCCTTGGAAAATATCTATTGTCAAAATGATCCACAAACCCAAAAAGCCACCAGAATATTCATGCTCTTACCGTCCCATCTCTCTGTTACCCATCATGGGAAAAATCCTGGAAAAACTAATCTTAAAACGCCTGTACCCAATCCTAGATTCTAATCACATAATCCCAGATCACCAATTTGGATTCCGCTCCTCCCATTCCACTATACAGCAATTCCATTGTGTGGTAGACGTAGTATCCTCTGCATTGGAGCGCGGTATGTACTGTACGGGAGCCTTTCTCGATGTTGAACAGGCGTTTGATAGAGTTTGGCACCGGGAAAAAAGCAGAAAAAACAGACTGAATATCTGGTCGATCGTTGATCTTCCTCGTCTGAACCCGCACTGGTACCGTCCAATTTCTCGCTCCGCTGACGGCATTAGATGAAACAGGATGTTTGATAGAATTTTGTACGGGAGCAGAGCAATACCGCGATAGTTAGAGCATTTTAATAGGTAATTTTGTTAGCATATTAATAACGATAAAAAAAAAAAAATGTTTAGTCCAATAATTGGAATCACTTTTTATTTCCTTTTCATTGTCACTAGGAAGGTAATGTTACTTTAGATGTATAATTTCTTGGGAATAATAAACTATTGTGAAATAATTTGCAGGTTTTTTTTTTTTATATATAACCATCATAAATGCATACGATACATTACACTATACTCTAATAACATTACACTAATTCCAGTCAAATAGATTGCTAACTAGGACTCCTACTTCAAAAGTGTGCAATCTGAAATCCTCCAAGACTGAAACAGCAAAGAAACAGCCTGTAGATTTCGATTAGTACAACACTTATTTGCCTAACGATTTAAACTTCCATCTTGCTACAAAAAAAAACGAATTTAAAGGCCTTAAAACCCATTATTATTCAACAGCTATCAAACTCATTAGTAGGCCTACCTGGAGAAACGAAATTGAAGTTTACAGCTCCACAAAACCATCAAATCCTTAAGCCTAGTCCACACTAGTAGACACGTTGCGCGATTTTTGTCTCTGACATGTCTCAGTTTGTCTACGTAGTCATGTTTATAGACCAATCCCCTTCTACAGGCATGTTTCGAGACCAAAAATCGAACCAAAAAATTAAGCTTCGTGTCTCTAGACGGTCTATAGACAAATCACGCAACAATGTCTACTAGTTTGTTGTTTGTTTGTTTCGATGTCTAGGAGCAAAACATCCAGATCATAAGCCTCCTATTGACTGAATAACACCACTTAATACTGCTTGGATAGTCGGTACAAAAAAAAAATTAAATAAAGAAATGGATTGATATAATAAAATAAATAAATAAGGATAATAATAGACATTTATAGATAATATAATATAATAGATAAATAAATAAAATTTTAAAAATAGCAGTAAAATCAATAAATGAATGGAAATTAATAAACAAATGAAATGAAATGAAACAAAAAATAAAATAAATAAATATATATTAAAAAAATAAATAAATAAATAAAATAATAAATCAGCACAGGATCATTAATTATAAGCTTGTCATATATGTCTTTCACTATCCAGGAACTTGATGACTTTGGTAACGATTTCTCCTTGATTTCCCAGGGATGCTGATATATTCTGGGGTATTCTTAGATCTTTTAACCTTGCGGTGTAAAAAGGACACTCTTCCAAAATATGTTTTATTGTTAATGACTGGTCACACTTTTGACATCTGGGGATAAGATCTCTTGTTGTGAGGTGGAGGTGTGTCAGTCTAGTATGTCCGATCCTCAGCCGCGTTAGGACGACCTCTTCTCTACGACTACTGCGTCTGGAGCTGGTCCACGGTTGCACCTCTTTCTTTATTGTTTTCAATTTGCTAGGTGCGCTGTTGTCCCACCGCCTTTGCCATTCTTGGAATATGGTTTCTCTTAGAGGTCGTGCAAGTTCAGATGGTGTCAAAAAAGCTTTACCGCGGTCTGTCTATCAGCCATTTGGTTTCCTTATAATGCCTATATGGCCAGGCGACGAGATAAAATGTGCCGTTGTCCACTAGTGTGTACTAGGCTTTATAATAGAAAATTCTTCGAATTTCAAACTCCAATTAATACATACTAATAATTGATTGTATCAGAACTAATCCCATAAATAAAACAATCACAATTAAAAATCAGGATGATTCTCACTGTTTGAACTAGAATATTTTATTTATTTATTTTAAATGATATTTACAACTGTATACAAAAAAATACATCTAGTAAATTTGCACATTGGTATAAAGACATGGAACACATGTTGAGAAACTACCCATTGGTAGCACTCTAATAATATGTCTATATTAGAAGATCACGTGGCCATCATCTTTTCAGACGCCTCGGAGGGTTATCAGGAATCGAATAGGAAGCAAGGTTAGAGACAAGAGGGTTGGGATGGTTATGAAGTTTATTATGGAAGGACAGATATCTGGATTGGGCCAAATCTGATACATTTGGCTAAAGTCTTCTTCATTAAGGAACATTAAGGTCATTATGGATAATTTTATTTGTAACAAAGTAAGGAGCATTGAGGATTTTACGAAGGATTTTGGATTGCAAGGACTGTATGCGAGAGGAATTTGAAGGCTTGGTGGAGCCCCATAGCTCAACCCCGTAAGTCCAAATAGGCCTTATTATAGTCATGTAAATCAGTCTTTTATAATTGATCGGAAGGTTAGAGCGTTTGTCTAGTAACTGTTGAAGTAGTCGGAAACGTCGAGCTGTTTCTTGTCGTTTCAGTCTGGTATGAGGATTCCAAGTTAGACGTTTGTCCAGATGGAGTCCTAGGTAACGGATTTGTTCAACAGGAATAAGTGAGGTGTTGTTAAAGGATACTGAAGGACAGGAAGTCATTGGTTTACGACGAAGGGTGAAGGTAATTTGATGGGATTTATTGGAATTTATTTTAATTCTCCAGTTCTGACACCATTCTTCCAGGTTTGTGATGTGGGATTGAAGGGTTTGGGATGCAATAGATGGGTCGTTATTGACTGATAGGATACATGTGTCATCAGCATATGTGGTGATGACAGTGTTGAACTAGAATATGAATTTAAATGTTCATCAATCTATTCGTATACGTCAAATCGATCACGCCGTATTTGATTAATAATTTTTTAATACAACAGAAGCTTAAAAATAAATATTATCTACATTAAGCTTACTTTTAGAACAAATGTATCATAATTATATCATATATACTTATATCATACTTACAGGCATCACAATAATTTTAAGTACAGTTTTGAATTTCAGTTTATAGCTCATAATAGACTGAAACGACAAGAAACCGCTCAACGTTTCCGATTACCTCAGCACTTACTAGACAAACGCTCTAAACTTCCAATTAATTACAAAAGAATCATATGCATGACTATAATAAGGCCTATTTGGACTTACGGAGTTAAGCTCTGGGACTCTACTAAACCATCGAATTCCTCTCGTATCCAATCCAAAATCCTTTGTAAAATCCTTAATCGTCTCTACTTTGTTACAAATAATTCATAATCATCTTAATGTTTCTTATGTTTCAGATCTTGCCCAATCCAGATACCTATCCTTCCATAATAAACATCAGAATTATCTCAACCCTCTCGTTTCTAACCTTGCTTCCTCTTCGATTCCTAATAACCCTCCCAGGCGTCTGAAACCCCATGATCACCTAATGTAGACATATTATTAGAGTGCTACCATTGGCTAGTTACTCAGCAAGTGTTTTCATGTCGTTATATCCATATATTCAAATTTACTAGATGTATTTATTTGATACTGTGCAGTAAATATCATTAAGAAATAATAAAAAAAAATGTTTATAGCTATATACCATCTTTTCACTATGTTACCTTTGTTTGTACAGTGTGTCTTGTAAATAGTAGGAAATATTTATAGAAATGATGAAAATTCTCAAGAGCTACAAAAAATTGTATATAAACATTTGTCAGATTTTCAGCAGAAAAGTAGAAATTTAAGTTTTGTGTTTATTTTTAAGTAAGTCTAGTTTTTTGTAGAATAGGAAGCGACAATTAAAGAAAATTTAAATTTAAGTAATTAAAAGTTGCTTTAATATAAACAAAATAAATTTACTTCAACAGTAAATAGAGTTTATCATTGTTAAAACCACAGGAGCAGACCAACAAACTCCTGGTGTTACTGAAAGCACAGGTTCTTACCAGCAATTTCCTGAGATTACTGAAAGCACATATATTAACCAACCATCTCCTGCTATACCTGAAAGCACTATTTCTGATCAACAATCTCCTGATATTACTGAAAGCACAGCTATTAACCAACAATCTTTTGCTGCTATTGAAAGTACAGTTGACGTTCAGCAATCCTCTGATGCTACTGTAAATACAGCTACTAACCAACAATCTCTTGCTGTTACTGAAATTACAGTTGCTGATCAGTTACAATCTGCTACCAGTGACAGCACAATTGCCGATCAGCAGTCTACTGATGTTGCTAAAAGCACAACTACTGTCCAACAACCCTCTGATACTACTGAAAGCACAATTACTAACCAGCAATCTCCTGATGGTGCTGAAAGTACAGTTGACGTCCAGCAATCCCCTGCATCATCTACAAATGCTGAAAATGCATCTTTAATATCGGATTGCAAGACTGAACCAGAAATGTCTGGAACTAGCGAAGGGATGTTTGATAGCTCTACCACTCCTCAAACAGATACCATGGCGGATGGACCATTAGACCAAAATGAAAATACAGCTTCTTCAGACAAACTAACAGTGATAGGCAAATCAGAAAGGCCTGAATTATTATCAGAAAATGAAACCATTTTCCCTTCTAAAGAAAAGATACCGCCTGAAAAAAGTGAAATTTCTACGATTGGACATGAAAATCAGATAGAAAACGCTGGTGATTTAGAAAAGACCCATATTTCAAAATCACCAGCAAATTTATTAATTTTTTTTTTTTTATTATTAAAAAACACTTTATTCAGAAATATTACAATTTGTCACAGTTAAGGACACTTATAATAGAGTTCAGAGATTGCATTCATACCGTATATACAAAAATATAAATAAATAAAGTAATAACAAAAGAATAAGAAGAAAGAACAAAAGAGTAAAGAAAAAAAAAATATATATACATAAGTAAATAAAAATAGAAATAAAAGTAAAACAAACACCTTATATAAAACATACATTATTTACAATTTGCCAGGTGATCTCCGAACCAATCCTGTCCCCTCCACATGTGGAGGGAAAAGGGAGGCTTAGGAGATCCCTACGCTTCTCCCTCAGCCACTTCACTGGTATTTTAAACCAGCGGAGGATGAGTAAGAGCGCTACAGCCACAGACACTCATGACTTGAGTGGAGAATCTGGCCATTGCTAGAACTCCAAAATATCCATATTTACAAAAGGTCTCGTGGCCACTGCCGCTTTAACCTACGAAGGGGATTGTAGGGATGGGTGGTGCTTGATAGGGATTGTACAACGGGATTTGGGTGATGAGAAAGGTTCTGGTGAAATTTGGAAAATTTGGCTGGGATAAGATCAAGAATAAATGGGATATTAAGGTCATGATGTAGGGTTTTATTGGTTACATAGAAGGGAGCATTGACTATTGTACGGAGGACTTTATACTGAAAGGATTGAATGCGTTTGATGTTAGAAAATTTGGCTGTTCCCCATAGTTCTAGTCAGTAAGTCCAGATGGGTTTCAGTATTGTCTTGTAGATCAGTGATTTGTTTTCACCAGAAAGTTTAGATTTTCTATTCAGTAGTCTATATAGCTGGCCATATCGTCTGTTAAGTTCCTGTCTTTTAAGTCGAGTATGTGGATTCCATGTTAGTCGTCTGTCTAAGAGAAAGCCAAGATACCGGACTGTATCTGAGAAAGGAAGCTGGATGGAGTTAAAATAAACTGGTGGGCAGGTATTACGCCGAATGGTGAAGGTAATGTGTTTACATTTAGATTCGTTTACCTTAATGCGCCATTTCTTACACCAGTGTTCAATCAGGAAGAGGTGCCTTTGTAAGTTTGCGGACGCTGTTTCAGAATCTGAGTTGGAAGAAAGGATAGCAGTGTCATCAGCGAAAGTTGCCAGGAGGGTATCAGGATGGACAGGAATATCAGCGGTAAAGAGAATGTAAAGGATGGGGCCCAAGACGCTTCCTTGAGGAACGCCAGCCTCAATTGAGTAACAGTCGGAGAATTCGGTGCCACAGCGAACTCGGAAGGAGCGGTCGGAAAGATAGGATCGGAGTACTAGGTATAAGGACTGTGGTAGATGGATTTTAAGCTTGAAGAGTAATCCGGCGTGCCATACCCGGTCAAAAGCTTGCGCTATGTCCAGAAATGCACCCGAGCAATACTGCTTGCTTTCTAGGGTTGAGGATATATGGTCAAAAACTCGGAGTCCTTGCTGGACAGTGGAATGTTGGGAACGAAATCCGAATTGATGAGTAGGAAGGTTATAGGATTCAATTATAGGTAGGATTCGTTTCAGTAGGATCTTTTCAAAAATTTTTGAGAGGATTGGGAGTAGGCTAATTGGTCTATATTATGCTGTATTGTTGGAAGGTTTGCCTGGTTTCAAGAAGAGGACGATGGTGGAATGTTTCCATAAAAGAGGGAAGTGGGTAGTTCGTAGGATGCAATTGTATATATATGTAAGAAATATGATGGCTTTAGATGGAAGTTGTCGAAGGATCTGTGGGGTTAGAAGGTCATATCCAGGAGATTTGCGAGGTGTGATTTTCCGTAAAAGGTATTTGACCTCAGAGGGATTAACAGCTTTAGGTGGTAAGGAGAGTGGGATAGGTATTGAGAGGGATTCTTCTACTTTTACTGTGTGGCTGGGATGGGATTCTGGATGAGGAGCGAAAGTATAGGAAAGGTGTTTGGCAAATTCCTCGGCTTTATCTTCATCAGATGCTGCCCAGGAGCCATCATCTCGTCGAAGAGGGTGGGAAATATGATGGGATTTGAGGATTTTTCTGGTGATATTCCAAAGGGAATTATCATGAGCAGAGAGTGTGGTGAGGTAGGAATTGAATGATTGGGATCTGAAGGTGGCTAATTCTTTTTTTAATTTTTTACAGTGATAATTGTAGGAGTGGCGGTCGGCTGGATGTCTGGTACGTTGCCATAATAATCTGGCACGGCGTTTTATGTGGATTAGGTCAAGGAGGTGTTGAGGTAAATTATGTTTCTTAAGGATTTTTGAGGAGTGATCAGGGGAGGAAGCAGTCCAGACTGCTTCTTGAATTTTGGTAGTGAAGGAATGTACTGCATTGTCCAGGTCTTCAGAGGTTTTCAGGGTTACTCTGACGTCAATTTTATCGGAGAGGATTTGATGAAAGAGTTTCCAGTTAACTGGGCCTCTGATGAAGGACGGAGGAGAGGGTTTAGGAATAGGAGCTAGTGATACTTGGAGTATTAATGGGCTGTGGTCTGAGGAAAGCTCGTCAAGACGGGCAACGGAATGGTTGAGAGCACCTAAACCATTATGGATAAAGAAATCGAGGATATCGGGATTACGGTTAGGATCAGTGGGCCAGTAGGTAGGTGAGTTGGGTGGAAGAAGGGTAAAATTTTGGGAATTGAGTGCAGACAGCAATGTTCGACCACGAGAATTCGTGGTTCTTGAACCCCATTGTTGATACCAGCAAATTATGGAACCATTAATGAATTTGAAAAACTTACAATACCATCAGCTAGTGGATCTATTATTTCTCATAAAGAAGCTTATGAAAATATGCTTCCTCTTCCGCTCATGGCAAAACAGGATTGGTCTATATCATCGTTGTTAAAGAAGTGGTTACTTTATAGGAGGCCATTACAATTTCTCTTCTTTTTTCCTTATATTCACGCACCAATCAACGCCTAAATGAAACTACACTATTCTAATTGTTTGAAGTGGAAAGCAAACTCTTGATTTATTTACATATATGCGGACACTGTTCCACCTTATAAAAAATAAAAGGACTAGAACTGCCCGAGTAATGTAAGAATTGCTGGAGAAATAAATGACTTTAAGCCTTTGGTTTCGATATAACACTTTTAAAGAATAAATTTTTATTTCAAATGCCCGATTGTTTTTATTTATCCTACCTTCCGTCCTTCTAAATAAAAATATCTTTACAGGTTACGTGGTTTTGTAATAATCAGTGGAAATATTCAGCCTTTGTTTGAGGTATTTAATAGAATATTGAACAACCTAATTTTTACTGTAATATTTAGAAGTTAAAACTTTGAGGCCTTGTTGGCAGACGAATATTCTCGAATAACAATAAAATAATAAATAAAACCAGAAGAAACAGCATTTCTCTATTTTACCTGCACGCCGCCATTGACACTGATAATAAATTAAAAGTATTAAATTATATTAATTTAAATCAGGTTAGTTTTTGCGAGCGATCAAGACAGCAATTTCAAAGTCAAACCAGACTATAGGCACAGTAATAATATTTGTTCAAAAGTTAAAACGAACTCAGCATAAAATATGTTTCGAAAAGCTAAGAAACAAATGTTAGCAATCTAATCTTGCTCTGTCAAAAAATAATTAGTGTGTTCAGCTGAAAATATTGTTAGATACTATTGGTGAAGACGATATAATTTATGAAACCAACTCAGCCATTAACCTTAACTTTTATTAATCTGTACCACTACAATCCATGAAGGATCTTGGGTTCAGTACTATTTAGGTAAAGTACTGTTTCTAGGTCAACGGTTGTGCAAGGAGGTGATTTGATCGAGATCACGCTCAACTGCCAGGTTTTCCCCCTTAATCAATTATTTAATTAAGTGAACCAACTTTATAGAGACTGGGTGTGCCCCAGCCTCCCTCAGCCATAATTAGAGCAAATCTATTAAATAAGTATAAACGACATTTGCAGGAGGCTGAAAAGAAAACGTTGCATAGCTCAGCTGATAGAACATTTGAATTTTTTTTTTTTTACAATGGTTAGATCTTCCAGTATTTGTTGATGCTGACTAATTTCAAAGATACTACTTCACTAGCAGGCCGGGTAGTAACCTCACTCCTTATCTATGTTATCTAATGTCATGTCACATAACCTCCCTCTTCTTATCCCGCCAAACCTTTCAGTTATTACATTGTTTATTTTTCAATTCTTCCCTTTTTACGTTCACTTATTAAATTCTTTATTTTTGGCCCGTTTGTGTTCATTTTTCATTTTTTTTTAAAGTTTACTTTCGTCAAATTATGAATCTTGTTACATTCTGGGATTTACTGGGTAAAAATAAATGACAGAAAGGCAACAACATTATTACAAGCAATTAAAGACAATATAGAAGAGGGAACGACCATTTATTCGGACTGTTGGAAAGGATACAACACCCGACAACTGAACGGAGCAAACTATGGCCATTTCCAAGTGAATCACCCGCTATAATTTGGTCGATCCATCAACTGGGGTTCATACTAAAGACATAGAACGATTATGGGGCTCAGCTGAGTGGAGAAACAAAATACATAGAGGAACTGCTAGACAACACCTCGATTCATATTTATGTGGTTTTTTGTGGCGGAGGGTTCACAAAGAAGAGGACCTGATCCATGCTATTTTAAATAGCATAAAAAAACTGTTTTGCTTACCAAAATAAATAAGACGAAGCGAAAATAAATTGTACATATGTCGTTTAATGTTGATATTTTTTCTTTTATATGTACATATGTTCTGTAAGTGTTTTTTTATTATTTTATTTTCATCTTTTATATGTACATATGCTCTTTAAGTTTTTTTTTTTTATTATTTCATTTTCATCTTTTATATGTACATATGTGCTTTAAGTGTTTTTTATTATTTCATTTTGATCTTTTATATGTACATATGTTCGTTAAGTGTTTTTTTTTTATTATTTCATTAATATATGTGTCTTAAAATAAAAGTATTTTTTTTTTGTTATTACATTTTATTTTGTTTCTGTTTACACTTTCAATAATACGAATTAGGAATAATACGAAGATAGGAATAATACGAAGATAGGAATTCCGAGAAGGATTATCACTGCCTTATCGGAATTATCAGTGCTCAGGTTATAAGCTTTGGCAGATAGCAGTCAGTCCCGTCCGGCTAGTGAAGAAGTAACATTTCAAATATACCCGATTAATATTGCAGATCCGCCTAAAATAGTAAAAATTATTCTACAACTTGAGTGCAAAATGTTCAATACCATGTCAAAAGACACACTTTATCATGTATTAATTAAATGCCCAATATACAATGGTTTAAGAAAAAGAATTTACAAGGGTATGTAAAATCATAATGTAATGCAAATATTTAAGTCAAGCAATAGAAGATATGAGAAAAATATATTTTCTTTCCTTATTACCGAAGGTAGAGAAGCTTTGTACTAATTTCCACCCGCATTTTACGTTTCAGATATCAAGGATCAAATTTGGTTTCCAGATTTTACGGAGGGCTTTGGGTTGTAGGATTGGATACGGGAAGAATTTGATGATTTCGTGGAACCGCAAATCTTAATCCTATTTAATGATTATAATGTATATGAGTTTTTTTTTTAAAGAATATTTGAAGTTTAGATTGTTTTGTCATGTAAGTGTTGTAGTGGTCGGAATCTATTGCCAATTTTTTGTCTTTTCAGTCTAGTATGAGGATTGCAAGTAAGGCGTTTGTCAAGAAGGAATCCTAGATAACGGATCAGTTCGAAAGTGATCAGTGGAATACTGTTAAAGGATACTGTAGGAGAAGGTATAGTATGCTTACGACGATGGGTTTCTGGTTTTATGCCACCTGGCTATTGCCCGAAGTTTCTCTGTTACTAATATGCTATGATGATTTTGAAAATTAGTTTCTCAGTAATATCTAGTTTTGGGTTGTGATGTGTTGTTATTGATGGTGGTTTCTATAGATCTTTTGAATTCTTCAATAGCAGAATCAATCTGCATTTTAACGAAATATTTAAATCTAGATTGTTTTCTAGGTCATGATGAAAGTTGTTCCAGTTTACTTTCCATGTGATTAGTGATGATTTGTGATGGCTTAAATCTATAAGTTCAATAACGAAACTTTATGAAATAATAGATATTGGTAGTTGAATTGGCAACATTGGATGGTACTATATGCATTTCAACTAATAAGCCAATATTTCGTATTTAATTTGTCTAGTAAACAATCATCCAAATATTGACAGATCAACATCGCCATTCTTTGAATAAGTATAAAAAGTCTAAAACATCCAGAAGGTGTCAATCGTTCCCGGTTATCACAGCCATGAAGTTGTCAATCTTTGCTGTCCTCGTCGGCTTGGCGGTATGCAGCCATGCCTTCTCGATCAGTGGCTTCATCAGTTCTGTTGCTAAACATCAGCAAGAGAACATCCAATTGGTTTCTGATCAAGCTATAAGTAACATCAATCAGATAGCAGGAAACATCAAGTCAAATATAAATGCTATCCTCACTGGTAATCCCGTCTTAGTTGCATCGACGATAGCCAACAACTGTGCTAACATGGGGAAAACTGTTTTGAACCAACAAATTAAGAATAGTCAAAAATACATTGCTGATGCAATAGAGGATTTGAAGGTAATTAATCTTTTTTAATTATAAATACATGTTTACACACACAAAATCTAATATCTTTAGTTAAGACTGTGTTAAATTAAGTAAAGCAATTTAGATACAATCTAGAATAGTTTTCGAAGTTGGAAATGTTTTCGTTTAAATAAATGGGTATGTCTACCATCTTCAACTATTAACTCTCTATATAACTCACTATGTGAATGCGCGATCTTAAAATCATTAATGTTTTCATAAAAACATATTCAAGCATGCATTCTTCAATTCGATATTGTTTACATAAAAAAACGCCTCCTATATACTAGTAATAGACCCTTATATCGCTGAATTTCGAAAAGATTTTTTACAAATTCATATAAAATTTTTATAGTGTCTATACAAATTCAGTGATATAAGGGTCTATTACTACTATATAGGAGGCGTTTTTTTTTATGTAAACAATATCGAATTGAAGAATGCATGCTTGAATATGTTTTTATGAAAACATTATCGATTTTAAGATCACGCATTCATATAGTGAGTTATATAGAGAGTTAATAGTTGAAGATGGTAGACATACCCATTTATTTAAACGAAAACATTCTCTGTGGGAAACATTCTCGATTGATGGGTGTCGGCATCGAACCTTCGGGTTCGCTAAGCCTTTTATTATTATTATAATATTATTATTATTATTATTATTATTATACAAGTGTATAGTGAGTTAAAGTGAGTTGTCCACTCCTTCCGCCGTCAATACTTCCCTGAAAATTTCTTCTACCAAACTAACAACTCCCATCATACTTCTTATATCTACCGTCTGGACACCTCAGGCCAGGGACACACCGACAGTTCACAAGCACAGATATTAAGCTACTTGGCTGCTAAGTGTCTGCCCACTCCGTTATTTATTACGGTTTTAATCCTTTTCCTCTCTTTGTTCTCAATGATTCACACCGGTTGTTGTTTACTTGGTTGTTTTGTTTACTTTCGGAATCTACTCTTCCATGATTATTTCTCACTTCGGACATTTGTTATCCAAGTTTATTTGACACTAATTTTTTATTTATTTTTCTCTGTCGGCCTGAGAATCAAAATTTCGCCTAATATCTATGAATTTGGCAATAACTGTGATCGATTGGTACACCGAAGGAGATGCAGGTTTATAACTTGAACGCGATCAGAACCACCAATTGGAGCCTTAAGTATTTCGACGTATTGGTAACTTGGAAGTTATTACTCATGCTTCTACTCCCTACTTGTTGTAATAACTTATAAATGATGACAGTATTATAAACATATTTACTTTATTATATATATATATATATATATATATACACACATGCATGTATACTAATACACATTTTTGTTTATAGCATCTAAATCCATTCCCTCAATAAGCAACACCGACAACCACTTCACCTCCAGCCCCAGCAACCACCTTACAGCAGAAAACTACTCCACCTCAAACCCTAATACAATCAGCAACGAAAACTAATCCACCTCCACCCCCAACACCAACAACCATTCCACCACCAGCACCGAAAACCAATCCACCTCCACCCCCAACGTCAACGACCACTCCACCACCAAAAACAACACCACCTCCTACTCCAGCAACAAACAAACCTATAGAAGAAATAACAACAGCAGATACTGAAAAATAACGACAGAACAAGGAACTCCAACTCAAGAAGTCCCATCAGAAAAAAAAACTCCAGCCCCTGAAGTATCAGTTGCAGAACCAGAAACTCCAGTGGTAGCTAAAAAGCAGGGATGTAGTGTCTCTGGTTTCGCAAAAAAATCATTTGAATTTTTAAAGAAAAATACACAAGAATATATGAAAAAATTGAGAACTTCATTTCACCTATCCCTTGATTAACTTACCATTATATAAATATCATTGTGATAAGCATCTTAATAAAATATTTCATTAACATATATTTAATATAAACAATTCTGTATGATCTCTTTCATGAAACGAACACCATACTTTACGAATATTATTATTAATGGTAGCAATAATAAGTGTGCTGAAGTTCACAGCAATGTGTCTTGAAGATTTCTAAACCTCCAGTCTGCATTACATATTATGGAGCAAGATGGCTGTGTAGTAAGTATGCACCAAACTTGGGCACTATTTCAAATAAAGTATTTTAAAATATAAAGTAAAATACATTTTTTGTTAAAGTTTTATAAAAAAAAAACAAGTTATCTTTATATTTTAAATATACAAGACTAAAAAAAGAAAAACAAAACTACTATCTGTTTGTTCTTTTCTATTTGAGATGTGTATATCTTATATTAATTTAATGTTCTTTTTTTATGATTTATTTACATTTTAAAATACTACAAAACTTTTAGATAAAACAGCTACAGTTAATGAAAGTGATAATTAACTATAGATGTTTTATCTATGTGTGAACTACAATATGAATTTAAATAAATATTTATCTATTATGATGCCAATTTAATCCAACAGAAGTTCAAACAATAACAATATTTTAATTAGGTGTACAGAACAATCATTTATCCTTCAATTACGAACTCAATACCAAACAAAATTTACTAGTTTTTAACCTTGGTTTCCAATTTACTTTAGAAAAACTGCCATAGGATTTGGAAAGAAGATGACTAATAACTATGTTTTTGTTGGAGTGCTATTAATTGATTCTGTTTTTTAATAAATCACTGCCAATAGCGGATCCAGAATTTAAATTTCCAATAGCGGCGGCGGTTCAAATCAGACCTTACAGATTTAAAATTTATTTTTTGGTGGACCCTCCACCCAACAATCCTATTCGCATAGATTACTCATCACAACCTCACGACCTAAATCCACTTCCCAGCCAAACATCATCCGACATCAACTCTATCCTATCATCATTCCTAAATAGATCTTCAACAGACTATCAACCTGCTTATAACTCTTCTCACAAGACTCCTTTTCGAAATCCCGTTTAACTTCCGATGAACACGAAGTCCCTAGCTATTCTCTTATGGAACGCTAATGGACTGCAAAACCACCGTGACGAACTAGACATATTTCTCCATGACAATTATATTGACATTGCTCTCCTGACAGAAACTCACTTTACTCAACGGACACAATTCTACATACGTGACTACATCACTTATAGATCTGATCATCCAGACAATACTTCCCACGCTGGCTCTTGCATCCTTATACATAAATCTCTATCGCATTCCCTTATCCCTTCTACTCCAACTGATGCCATTCAATCAACTTCTGTAATCCTTTCAACTCGTCCTTTCCATCTAACACTTTCAGCTGTATACTGTCCTCCTGGTAATTCCCTCTCTTATAGCCTACTTGATTCCTTATTTCAATCCCTCGGAGCGCGCTTTATTGCTGGAGGAGACTACAATGCTAAACACCAACGATGGGGTTGTCGAACATCCAACTCCCGCGGTAGCATCCTATCACGTGTCTCTTCTTCCAACAGTTATTCAATCCTCTCACCCATGAATCCTACATATTGGCCTACATCTCTGAAAAAACGTCCCGATATCCTGGATATATTTATCACCTCCCAGATTTCCTCCTCCCAATCCATTATCAAATCCCTGGATGACCTTTCGTCAGATCATAGTCCAGTTTTGCTTTTACTACATTCGAACTTTGCTCCTAAACCTAAACTTCCTAAACTAATTACAGGACGAGTGGACTGGGACAAATTTCGTCATGATCTGGAAGATAAACTGGACTTAAAAATTCCCCTTAAGACAAAACAACATATTGATAATGCCATAGAAAACCTTAATACAACTATAACAACGAGTATAAATAATAACACATTTGTTAATAATAAAAGCAATAATTTAAGACATATTAACTTGCCACAGCATATTCGAATCTTATTAAGGGATAAACGCAGAGCAAGATCGAAGTGGCACAGGACTAGATATCCTTCAGACAAAACGTACTATACCGAATTGACTAACAAACTAAAATCAGAAATCAGAAAATATAAAACTCAACAATTACTGAACCTAACTGAAAATATTACAACAACTGACAAATCACTATGGACTACAACCAAAAAACTTCTGAAGTTTAAAGATTTTAATCACCCACTTCTTACTGAATCCCAAACCTGGTCCAAATCCGACGAAGAAAAAGCCCAGTTATTCGGTCAACATCTGTTCCAAATTTTCAACCCACATCCTGATATCCTTAATCCAACCCACATCGAATGTATTGAATCAGAACTGGATACTCCTCTCCAAATGTCCCTTCCACCTAAAGCATTTCATCCCACAAAAATATCCAACATCATTCAAAGATTACCCTCCTGCAAAGCTCCTGGACATGACCTAATAACATCCCAGATCTTGAAACTTCTTCCTCGAAAAGCCATCCTATTCATTACTTTCATATATAATGCTGTACTCCGATCCACATATTTCCCTGATCCTTGGAAAATATCTATTGTCAAAATGATCCATTAACCCAAAAAGCCACCAGAATATCCATCCTCTTACCGTACCATCTCTCTGTTAGCCTGAAAAATCCTGGAAAAACTAATCTTAAAACGCTTGTACCCAATCCTAGATTCTAATCACATAATTCCAGATCACCAATTTGGATTCCGCTCCTCCCATTCCACTATACAGCAATGCCATCGTGTGGTAGACGTAGTATCCTCTGCATTGGAGCGCGGTATGTAATGTACGGAAGCCTTTATCGATGTTGAACAGGTGTTTGATAGAGTTTGGCACCCGGGACTGCTGTACAAACTCCGAAAATTCCTACCATCTACCTACTTCCTCATTATCCGTTCCTACCTTACTGATAGATACTTTAAAGTAAATCACAACAATGTCTATACATCCCGTTTTTCCCACTCTGCAGGTGTTCCTCAAGGTAGTATCCTAGGTCCTATCCTTTACACAGTTTATACAGCTGACATCCCAACCCATCCCAACACTCTCATCACCACATATGCTGATGACACATGTATCCTATCAGTCAATAACGACCCATCTATTGCATCCCAAACCCTTCAATCCCACATCACAAACCTTGAAGAATGGTGTCAGAACTGGAGAATTAAAATAAATTCCAATAAATCCCATCAAATTACCTTCACCCTTCGTCGTAAACCAATGACTTCCTGTCCTTCAGTATCCTTTAACAACACCTCACTTATTCCTGTTGAACAAATCCGTTACCTAGGACTCCATCTGGACAAACGTCTAACTTGGAATCCTCATACCAGACTGAAACGACAAGAAACCGCTCGACGTTTCCGACTACTTCAACACTTACTAGACAAACGCTCTAACCTTCCAATCAATTATAAAAGACTGATTTACATGACTATAATAAGGCCTATTTGGACTTACGGGTTGAGCTATGGGGCTCCACCAAGCCTTCAAATTCCTCTCGCATACAGTCCTTGCAATCCAAAATCCTTCGTAAAATCCTCAATGCTCCTTACTTTGTTACAAATAAAATTATCCATAATGACCTTAATGTTCCTTATGTATCAGATTTGGCCCAATCCAGATATCTGTCCTTCCATAATAAACTTCATAACCATCCCAACCCTCTTGTCTCTAACCTTGCTTCCTATTCGATTCCTGATAACCCTCCGAGGCGTCTGAAAAGAAGATGGCCACGTGATCTTCTAATATAGACATATTATTAGAGTGCTACCAATGGGTAGTTTCTCAACATGTGTTCCATGTCTTTATACCAATGTGCGAATTTACCAGATGTATTTTTTGTATACAGTTGTAAATATCATATAAATAAATAATAATAATAATCAATTTTTTGGATACGTTTCAGGATACGTAGAATTCGAAAAACCAAAAATAAAAAATTTTGTCCATCCGCCATCCGTGCATTTTCTCGGAAACTACTGGACCGATTTTTTTCAAATTTGGATTTAAGATTAAAGGCACCGGAGGATGATCCTCTTTTATGGACATTTCTGTCCGCCTTCTTCGTTCAAGATGGCGACTGAAAAACCTGCATTACTATGGACTGTAGCGCCTAAACAAATGTACCGATTTCAATGAAACTTGGCTAAAGTCTTCTTCTCGATTCCCTTTTAATTTATCTATATAACACACCTCAACGAAAAGAAGCTTGAAAATAAGTTACGAGGAATCGAAAAATTTAATTCCGAATAACTCAAAAAGTATACCCTTTTTTGTAAATATTGTGACAAGATGTTTTAAAGATATTTAAATTTCCTAAAAAATGAAGAAAGTTTCATTGAAATTGGAGCACTATTAGTTAAGATATCTCGATTTTTAATAATGAACCATTGTGATCGAACAAAAATTCAAAACCTTAACTCCTTCTCAAAATTTTAGGTTTTCCGTTTCAAGATATGTGTAATTTGAAAAATTAATAACTATTTTTTGTCCCACCGCCGTCTACGCAATATCTCCGAAACTACTGGACCGATTTTTTTCAAATTTGGATTTAGAATTATAGGTCACCCGAGGATGATCCTCCTTCATCGACATATCTATCCGCCTTTTTCTTTCAAGATGGCGACCGAAAAACCTGCATTGCTATAGACTGTATTATTTAATGGTTATTTCAAAGTTTAAGGAATTTCCTAAAAAAAAAAAAAAAATCATTAAAATCGGAGAATTAAAAGCAAAAATATGGTCTCTAGTTGTT